GTTTAGTGGGCGCCACATTTGAGAGTGCAGATGGGCTGCGCCACACCTGCAGACGGCGCCGCGAGCGGTCACCCCGCCGGCACCGGCCCGCTTGCATGATGTGCGACTGCACATGCTCCTGCTCTAATCCTTCGCCGCCACCGTTCGTTTGGCTCGGTGTGGTCAGGGTCTTTGCAGCTGCGGCAGTCCGATTCAAAACTATGGAACCGAGGAGGGAGGGAATCAGGACTTGAGGAGGGAAGCAAGTGATGGGGCAATGCTGCGGCCTTTGAGAAATCCCCGTTGCCGAGCCTTGCCCCGCACAGGGAGCCGACTTCGGGGCGTGCTGGTGCTCGAACCATACAGTTCGAACGGCTGACTCAACGCCGGAGCGCCAGAGCGGAGCGGGGTTCCGCCAGAGCACCAGAGCCCAAGAGCGGAGCGGGGCTGGCCTTTCACTTGGCTGGGTCAGCAGCATGCTTCCGACCAGGCGTCGCGATGTAAGGATTTCGCATGCAGCGGAGAGTGCGGCGAACAGGCAAGTGGACGGACGCACCCTGCGTCGTCACAGCTGGTCCGGTCGACAACATAGCGAGCACACGGCGGGCACTGGTCGCATACCATGTGCGCGTGTGACATTGGGGCTTTACGATGCACCCAGCTGTTGAGGCTGTATGGCGTCGCCTCCCTCTTACCCTGGCAGGAAGGACGGGCACCGCGGGGAATCGAGCCTGTATATCTGGTTTCCCAGACGCGCATCTTAACCACCACACTATCGGTGTACCAGCCTCATGCCAGCATCACGCTGGTCCCGTGCTGGGAGTATGCTGGCCAGCTCCCAATCTAGCACTCCCCCTTCCCCTCTATCAGTGTGTGAGGTCAACATCCATCAGACTGCCGTCTTTAACAAGTGCAGCGCTCGCGCCTGCCTGCCATCTGCCGACCATAGGACAAAGTTATAGTGGCCACCACAGCCGCTGCCATGCCCTACCCTCAATACCTCACATCTGACAGAGCTTAACCAGAGGCGACAAACAAGATTCAGCGATCATGCAAATTTTGAGGAGGGCAGCAGCAAGACAACCGACGGACACCCGTAGGCGTACGGACAAGGTGTAGTCAGAACACTGCAGGCCCGGCCAATATTATATACAGTCAATATTATATGCAGTCCAATATACATTATATATATATATATATATATATATATATATATATATATGATATTGCTATATACAGCAATATTATGTACAGTCCGAGGCACGGATGGTGAAGCGCAACACGAAGCACACTTAGAAGCCGCAAGTAAAGGCACAGCTCCCTTGCCCAAGCCGAAGGTACAAGGTAGTGCATGGATTTAGACACAAGGACATACATCGCTCATAAGCCCTCCCTCGTCCCCTCGTCCAACCCAACTCACTGCACGTACATACACGCGCGTGACAGACTTCACCATGGAAACACCATGGAAACACCATGGCAGATTCCAGCGTCAGAACATATCACACACCGATTATGGGATATTTCTCCTGCAGGCGCTGCAGTCCATCCCCGAGAACCTCCTCTATTCTCAGGCAGTTCTCCATGAGCTTCTCGTTCTCTATCACCTTCATCACAGCCATCGCCACAGCACAGGAGACTGGGTTGCCGCCGTACTACCGGACAGGGCAGTGACAGGTCAGACAGATACCGCTGATCAATAGAACCCGTCACGCAGATACCGCTGATCAATAGAACCCGTCACGCAAAGACAGTTGATCAATACACGCGTGATTTGCTGCGTCTGTGTTCCTACTTTTGCCGTCCTCCAACGGTCATCTTCGAGGGCAAGTGAAGTATCTACGCAGTTGGTGGGACTTGAAATCAATTTGTCGGTGCGTCGCACGCTTTCCACCACTCATTGGATCAGGCACAATTGAACACGACCGTTTTAGCACTTTTAGCACATCATATTTTTGCGATCCTCTCCACCGACCACCAGGGATTACGCATGTGTCCAAAACTATCCTGCATAAAAGCATCACCGCTTTGTCCCAGCCAGCTGGCCGCATGTACCACCCATGCCATTGGGTCACAGAGCACAGAGCACACAGAGCACACAGAGCACAGCACAGAACGGCACCTTATATTTCGCACGGAGTAGGCATTCTTTCTATGATATTGGTGAGATAGCCGTGTAAATAAATTCCGACTGTGCCTCAGGGTAATTGATCGGATAATTTACCACGCTCCCGAAAAATTCAAACACGCGCCTCTATATCGTTCCGTAAGCATCTCCCGTACGGCGGCTTACCGTGTTAAAGTATTCGACGCCGGTTTGCGCGAAGCTTTCGGCCACCTCTTGTGTGGTTACCACAGCGGCTACCGGATGACCGTTTCCCATCGGCTTCCCTGGCGACCGGGCCAAGTAAGGTCAGATGAGATCGAGTGAGATCAGGTGAGTCGGATGAGGTCAGGTAAAGTTGAGATCAGGTGAGGTCGAGTGACGTTAGGGTAAGGTCGGGTGAGGTCGGGTGAGGTCGGGTGAGGTCAAGTGGGGTCAGGTGAGGTCGGGTGACGTGAGGGTGAGGTCGGGTGAGGTTGGGTGAGGTCGAAACAGGTCGGATGAAGTCAGGTTAAGGCATATCAAGTCGGGTTGGGTCGGGTGATGTCAGATGAGGGTAAGGTCTGATAAAGTCTGGAGACGACACGGCATGGCATGCCAGGGCCGGGCTGGCCACTTCATCTCGTGGCCAGCTTCGTCAGGACACACAAGTCTAGTCAGAGATCAACAGCTCTGGAGAGGTAAGAGCAGGGCAGGGCAGGTCGGACAGGACAAAATCGGTATGAATATACACGTCAGAACGGAACAGCGCGGAACACACTGTTGTTTCTGAACAAAGCAGAGTATGTTAGGTGAAGTCGATAACGCTAAGGTCAAGTAAGATAAGATACAATAATGTCATCTACGACCTGTTTTTGTCTTACCCAAAAATAAACCGGCCGTCTAACTAATTTGATGCATGAATAGGACAGAAATAGCACGAAATCGCGCCGATTTAGAGTAAACTAAAAGCCTTTCTAGGTACCATAAAGTGACGCCATGGATTGAGTCGCACTTACTGACGTACCAGCCAGAAGACACGGTGCGCAGTCTCACAAAAAGTCGCGCAACATTGCCCAACCAGCGAAACCCCCACAGGTGCGGCCCCCGAGCAGGTACCCAGTGTGACGATGTCCGGTATGACGTCATCTCCCTGCGTCTGGAAGGCCCACCAATGGGTGCCGACCCTGCCGAAGCCGACCTGAACCTCATCGGCGATGCAGACTCCGCCCGCCGCCCGGACATGTCTGGAGGAGGGAGGGGAGGGGGTGCGTCACCAAGGATACCACACGGAGTCACGGAGACGAAGTCGACCGAGTCTGCTACACGGCCTGTCGCCACATCAACCTCACCGCCGCGAGGGCGTGGAGCGGACACCTGCTGCCAGTTGCGCCAAGGATTATGACCACAGGTGGTGGGAGAAAACACATTTTTACATGTGTTTACATGTAGACTTGTAATATTCAAACTTGTAGCATATGAACTTGCAACAAGTAAATTTGCAACGCGCAAACCGGTAGCATGTAGACTTGTAACACGTTTACATGTTACAAGTTTATACGTTACAAGTTTATATGTTACAAGTTAACGTGTTGCAACCATAAGTTTACATGTTACACCTTTACATGCTAGATGCTATAAGTTCACATGTTAAGTGCTATAAGTTCACATGTTACTTTCACATGCTAGGTGCTATAAGTTTGCATGTCACAAATGTACATGATACAACGAATACATCAGGCCTCTGAGCTCCCACAAAGCATCACTCCTAACCCAGCGTAAACCTAGACGCGGGCCTGGCGCGGCGGCTAGACCATGTCAGGTGTTCCATACGTTACTTGAGTTTGACTGCTAACCCAGCCATAACCTGCAGCGTAAGCCCAACGTGTTTACAACAGCCAGTATGAACCCACTGGTGGACCGTTCACGTATAGCCAGGCGCGTCTTGGCACCCAGCATACATACAGCCACCGGCGCTGACCCAGTGCTCCTGGACCTTGTCCCCGCTGCGAGGCCGACCCATCCCAGTGCTCCTGGACCTTGTCCCCGCTGCGAGGCCGACCCATTGCTGGACCAAACCAGCCAGCCAAACAGTGATAAGCGCGACTGTTACACGAGAGTCGGGACTGGTGGTGTTATGGGCCTCTCTCGTTCTCATTGCATACAAAGTGTGTTTAGAATATCCTGTGTACGCCCACTCGTAGATTATGCAGGGCATAGCCTAGGTCAAGTGTGAGGACCGAGCGTAGTCACAATCCCAAGCACAGGCCAAGCGCCTTAATTTGTGAAGATCTAGCGTACTCACAACCCCCAGCGTAGACCCAGCGTCTTCAAACCCCACACCACCCACCCAGCCCCTCTCCCCACATCCCGCGTGAACCCACTCGTAGACTGCGCGCAGGTATCCGGTCGGCGGCAAGATCTGGCCGCCGCAGCTCTGTAGACTCTCGGCGATGAAGGCTGCCGGCCGTCGGCCACTCTCGGCCAGCTTCGCGATGATGTCCTGCACCTTTTCGGCGTACTGCTGGCCGGCCGAGCTGGCGTCCCTGAACTCGCCCCTGTACGTGTCCGGGCACGGCGCCTGTTGATGGCCGTTGATAACGATGGCTGACATAATCGCACTGCTAGTGATCATGGAGATAGACAAAATATAAGTACAATAGTAATGAATGTAACGAACACAAAGAAACGTCGGAATGTATGGTACACGTCAAGAAAACAAGTGTGATTTCGATGATTGCATCGATATTTAAAACAATTTGAATGTGAATTGACAGCAATGACAAATGGTGTTATTGTAATGTCACTGATCGTAACAGCCATCGACATAACTACACCGATAATAATTGAGTCTGTAAATCATCCATATAGCCATTGCAATTATTGTAACGATGAGCAACACAATGATAACATTGATTCCCGTGTCGATAACAGAAATGAGAATAAAAAGAGTAATACCATAAATAAGATCTACGGTAAGATTAATGGTGATTTCAATAATCATGATAATGGTGGCAATGGCAAAAGAGATGCGGCATTGCTCTGCGAACTGATTGGCAAAGACAACAGCAGGCGTTTGGAGCGCTAAGTGTTTAAAAATTCAGACCATTCGGAAGCAAAAAGGCATTAATACACGAGTCCAAGCGTTGGTGCCTCGGAAGCAGAATCGATGCCGCTCTCCTGTGACGTCACTCACCAAATGAACCTCGCCGGATTTGGGTGCCCGGTCACCCTTCTTAAACTTGTACGGTGATATCTCCATCGTGGATGTCACGTGACCGTGGTAGGCGCTGAAATGATTGTCATTGCCAACGTCATGTGACCACCACTTGGCGCCTGGTCACATTCAAAAACGGACGTGCGGCTTTAAGCGTTAACCGCAGCAGGGACTTCTGAAGGGATTCTGGTCGCCCGCATAGCCGATGATGTTAACCGACGCGACTTCTGACTTCTCTAAGCCAGAGGCTCCGCTACGGGTCAAAAGCTGTGGAGACGCGAGTGTTTTTTAATGCGTCCATTGCCCTTACTGCGGTCGCCGTGCTTAATTTCTTACAAATATAAAGATCCTTTCTCACCGTGCCCCCCATCTTTCTGGCAGATCACATGACTCAAGCAATCAAATCCACTTTTCCCAGACAGTTTTGCATTGTTGGGACAGTCCGCGCGGAGTACATACCCGAACTGCAAATTGCAACAACATTACATTACAAATCATACCCAATCACATTGCGAATACAACCGATTTCAAAGACAACGTAGCGACATTCGAAACACAGCCGTCTCAAAACGTCCGGGGACGGAGTCGCCGATGCGCGCACGTGACGCAAAACACGTACGCCACACCCACGCGGCAGCCAACCATCCGCTTGCTTCTCCCCCGCCCGTCCCCATTCGCCAATCCCCTGCTCACTGATCCAGCGTGATGACGTCACTGGCCTTGGTGTGCGCCTTGGCCAGCCTCAGCGCCAGGTCGTTAGCTTCAGAGCCGGAGTTCACCATGTAGACTATGGACAGCGACTCCGGAAAAGTCGCCGTTAGCCTGAAGCGCGAGCAGAGTCACTGACTCCGCGTCATCGGGGTAGAGGGCGGGCGGGGTGGCCACAGGTGTACACTGGTGAAACGGCTGAGCCGCGTGTGACGCTACTATGACGGAGTTGAAACGGCAAAGGTAACCAGTGGAGAAAATCGCCTCAGCGTGCTGCAACGTAAGGGAGCGCTCTGCAAACACTCTTTGATTATTGTAGTGGTGAATAACGGCGTGCATGGTTGGCCGTGCGGTGCTACCCCAAATGAAAAATAAAAATAAAAGTAATGAAAATAAACACAAAATGTCAAAAACAAATACAACCAATAATAAACTAATAAATAACAACTTAATAAAAATATATTCAGCGGGAGCGAAGGATTTCAGCAGTCGTCAATTCTCCAGCCAGTTCAGTCCACTTTCGTGAAGGCTCACGGTTCAACACAGCGTGCCAAGAACATGGAACACAGGCCACAAACGTCCTTAGAGTCGTCATGCTGTCGACGAATCCGCGACTCCAAACAACGCGCCGACCCCTGCACTCACTTTTTCGCGTAGAGAACGATGTTTTGGTGCAAAAATCGGCTGTTGGTATTCAATGCAGCTGCCTGGCGGCAGAGGGCGCCGACGACATCCGGATGGCAATGGCCGACTGCGGCAGGCAGGGCGTGGGGTGGAGGGTCACGCTCGATGACCCGAGGCCAAACAAGGTTGCCACCAGAGAGCACCGAGGTAATCAGCTTCGGCGGCTTTCGGTGACGTCCCGTGGTCACAAAACAATGATCAGTGATGAAAGATCAGTGTGATCAGTGATCGGTCATCAGTGCCCGTCCGCTGGTGTCACGTGATCTACAAAATTAACCATTGAAAGGCCATGATATCCGTGACCGCATGACAACAAATTCAAGAACGACTTTCATTGGAGCTTCAAGACGCACTCGACTGCTGGGGTTATATAGCCCCGCCTGCCTCTCACCCTGGCGGGCATTGCGGGCATCGCGGCGAATCCAACCCCACACCCCTGGTCTCCTCGACCCACAGCTTAACCGTTACACTATCGGCACCACGAATTCAAGCACGGAAAAGCGGATCTAATCGGTTGTTTTTGTTACGCCGTTCTTGAATTCGTGCTAAACCACAGACGTGGAGGAGGAACACTCAACCACGCAAACGTCGAACCAACAAGTGGGCATAGTCAGGGCCTCGCGTACATCGCAACTCAAACGCAATAAAGCGGTAACTTTTCTGCCCAGAGCGAGTCATTTCCATCCCACACACCGCCGAGTATTCCAACAACATTATCAAGTGTCTCCCGAGGTCAGAGGGCCTCTGTGAATGAGAACTGCGTTCAAATGGAAAGCATTCCGTCCAGAGCCGCCGCCTCCTTACCGTGGCAGACGTTGTTGATGCCGTCCAGATATGCCTGGCCGGTTTCATCATAGAGGTGAATGCCCTCGCCCCGAACTATCATCAGGGGTGCCTCCCTGAAGAACAGCTGACATGACCGCCTGCAAGAAAGCAGGACAATCAGCCCCAGGCGAGATCGGCAACACGACATGACCTGACCTGACCTGACCTGAGGGTTAGAACACGACGGAGTGTGGTGTGAGCATGCTGTGGTGTGAGCCTGTTCCGCACAATAAATACGATGTTGGTCAAAGCGTCAGCACTGCAAGGATATTCAGGATATGACGATCATCAATCCAAGCATCAACTGGCACCCAAATGCTTTTTACATCTGCATATATCTGCGTACCTCGCCATGAGGAGGTTTCTGGTTAGGTGCTACCGGTGTAACATTCGTACGCAGCCACCACCCCACTCCCCAACCCCTATTCGCACGCACACGCGCGCGTACGCTCAGCGCCATGTAAAAAATCAATTTTTCCGGCACATTTTCGAAACGACACTGACAATTCCATGCCTGGATTTCCACAGCACGCATGCGCATAGCGGGCCTATCCCGATGTCTCGCACCCAGAGGTCAGAGGCCTGCTTTGGGGGCTGAGAGCGAGGCCGTGTCGTCGGGGGGGGGGGGGGGGCACAGGACCACGATAAAACAAACTACGTCACGGCAGTCCAGGCCGATGAACTCGTTGCCGCGGGTGCGCATTGGTGCCGGGCTAATACTAGTGCCGCAACAAGACGATCACTCTTCAATTGCTGTCATCGGTTAAGTAGGAGCCGGTCGAGGAAACTCTGGTAAAGTCAAGCTTGATTAGGGGCGGGGGGGGGGGGGGGGGCACGCAGCATCAGCTCTACCATCCACGGTGCCTAATAAAACGAACTAGCATAATTTCTGAAGGGGGCCACAAAGATCAATGCTTGCCTTGATTTCAGCTGTGTTCTAAACGATTACGTTTATTTCGGTCGCTTGTCCTTCGAAAAGTTAGTGTGGAGTTATTTCATTGCAAGCATGAACAAGCCACGGAGAGTAATTATAGGTTATTCGTGCTTTTTGAGTGTGTTTCATTTAAAGAACTTCAACTGTGTTTGGTGTTTTTACACTACTCTTATATACTCCGCGCCCAAAATGACACTCCGTCATCAGTCAGTAATGAGATGGGGTTAAGAGAGTGGTATTAGCCTTATTCCTCGGGAAAACCAGGAGAATGGAGATATAGCTAGGTTGATATTTCGGTAGCATGCCTTCATCGAAACAATGACAGAAGTGCTATTGTTTCTATTTGTGCTACAAGTGCTACTAAGTGCTTAAGTGCTTACTACTTATGTGCTACTCTTTCTATTTGTGCTATTTGTGCCACACTTCTGCTATTGTTTCGATAAAGACATGTTGCCGAAATTTCAACCTAACTATATCTCCATTCGCCTGTTTTTTCCGAGGAATAAGGCTAATACTTCTGTCTCACCTATGTGAATAATGTTCCCCGCCAATGCACTGAACAACTTAGGTAATTATGAGCTGGGGTTTTTATCCTGACGACCAACCATCTACCATCCATTTACCAGGAGGCGTTAGTTAAGCGAGGCTGCCCAGAACACACTTGCAAAATGCTGACGTAGCTGGGCCAGTCCTTGTTACCATATCAAATGTGGACAATTGTCGGAATAAGTATTTGCAACTCAGAATGCCGGAAACCAGGATCTCAAGACCCTCTCTGCTTGTATCAAGTATATAGGGCTTCCTTAGCTTGGAGCGCAGGGCACCTCGTCATAAGCCGTCCTGGAGCCCCCCGGGGCGCCAGCGACTGTTGCGGCTATACTGGCGTCCAAAGCCCATGACGCAAACGGGATTTGAACCCGGGCCCCCACGTGGGAACCCAAAGTGCCAACCACTCGGCCATTGTACCCTTATAAAAAAGGCGTAAATAATTAAGCTAATAGCAATGATCAGCGGCTACGGGAGCAGAGCATACGTAACCAATGGGGCGTATCCACTGGGACGTAACCATTGGGACGCAACCACTGGAGTGTAACCACAGGGACGTAACCACTGGGCCGTAACCACAGGGTCGTAATCCCCGGAGTGTAAGCACTGGGCCGTAACCACTGGGACGCAACCACTGGAGTGTAACCACGGGGGAGTAACCACAGGGACGTAACCACAGGGTCGTAATCCCCGGAGTGTAAGCACTGGGCCGTAACCACTGGGACACAACCGCTGGAGTGTAACCACAGGGACGTAACCACTGGGCCGTAACCACAGGGTCGTAATCCCCGGAGTGTAAGCACTGGGCCGTAACCACTGGGACGCAACCACTGGAGTGCAACCACAGGGACGCAACCACTGGGCCGTAACCACAGGGTCGTAATCCCTGGAGTGTAAGCACTGGGCCGTAACCACTGGGACGCAACCACTGGAATGTAACCACAGGGGCGTAACCACTGGGCCGTAACCACGGGGGAAGTAATCACTGGGTGTAGCTACTGGTCCTAAGTCAAGTTTAATTAAGTTCAATCTGCGCGGACGCCGTTCTAGAAAAAAAAATAAAGACGGCCCAAAATATCTTACAGCGTCGACCTAAAAATGCTCATGTTTAATCCCCGCTTGCCCAAGCGGCGGTGACACTCACGTCCATAGCGGAGATGTCATCCTTGTTTACAAGACGTCACGGCTGACACGTGCCATCACCTCGCCCCATCAGCCATGGCGGGGACGTGACGACATTGGTGACGAGCCACAGATGTGTTTTCGCAGCGTCTAGTAAACCCGCGGAGCAGATGGACTCGATCTGCATACCACGACGCAATCAGCCCGCATACCGAGTCGGAACCGACCGGTCCAGGGCGCATTTCGCCGCCACTGCCGGTACCGTGCCGATGCGGCGAACTGCCTCCGTACTGAGTATGTTGTCAGCCAGGATCAGTGCCGCTTTTATCTTTTCTGGTCGGAAGTGACCGTTAGGATGCGGGATCATTTTTTATGAAAAATACAAGACTTGCCATCTCTTCTACCGTTAATTTTTTCTACAATTTTCTTATACAATCTTCTTAATTCCTCTTATTATTATGCGAACATATGTTCTCAATTTCTACCGTCTTTTATCAATCTCTACTATCGTTTATGCAGCTTCTTGTATTCTTTTCTCTTCTCCATTTCTATTTGCCTTCTGTGAAACAGCAACCATCCACAATGGACCGCGCTGGGGCAGAGGAGTGGATGACCGCATCTGCCCTCAGACGCGCGGCCCCGCCACCACACCAATCAGTCGAGAGTGACGCACGCCGCGGCCTCGCACCACACCAATCAGGCGAGGGGGACGCACGACGCAGCTTTGCATCGTACCAATCAAGCGAGAGGGACGCACATCACGGCCTCGCACCGCGAAAGTCAGGCGAGATCTACGCACGCCGCAGCTTCACACCGCGCCAATCAGGCGAGAGCGACGCACGCCGCGACCTCGCACCGCGCCAATTAGGCGAGATCTACGCACGCCGCAGCTTCACACCGCGCCAATCAGGCGCGAGCGACGCACGCCGCGACCTCGCACCGCGCCAATTAGGCGAGATCTACGCACGCCGCGGCTTCACACCGCGCCAATCAGGCGAGAGCGACGCACGCCGCGGCTTCGCAACACGCCAATCAGGCGAGAGCGACGCATCTGGGACGTGCCAAGGTTTCGGTGCGTCGGACCGCCTGCACCAACCACCGACGGCATGAAGGCCGGGCCCAAGCCGGTGTCACTGGCAGATGAAGCTAACGGACATCCCCCCCCCCCCCCCAATGCGGCGGTCCTCCGCCGTTTCCGGGAGTCGGGTATCGAGTCAAGTCGAAAGTCGAGAGAGAAGTCAAGTCAGGCAGCGCGTGTCACACGCACCAAAGAGCAGGGGTGGTGCCACAAGTTTTGAGTTGGGGGGTGGGATTGGGAGTTTTTTTTAGGGGCTTCCTGGATAAAATAGGACCTCCTCACAGGAGAACCTGCGCAACACAGTACTCAAGGGAGAGTAACACCAAGGGCATGTGCGCACTTATTAAACAGTTGCGTATATCATACCCTAGCAAATCAATGTCGACAGCTAAAAAATCTAGAATGGTGGGGGGGGGGGGGCCTTCTAATGATTCAGGCAATGGTTTCCCCTGCCTAAGACAAATCCCCGTGTTCCAGAAAAGTCATCCCGATAAATAGAGAGGCCTCCAAATCCAGAATAAGAGGCTTACGACTCACGAAGTGGCCACCAAATCAAACAAACGAGCCTCGCCATCCCAAACCAGAGCATCCTTATTTGGAGCTGCGGCCATCTGACGCTTGCAAGGGGCCCCCAGCCCGGAAATGGGCCCTCCTGAATATAAAGGGTGCCTCCTAAACCAAAACAGGGGCTTCCTGGTTTGTAACGGGGGTCTCCCACGGCGCCGCTGAGACAAATCTGATTTTTACCGCTAAACTGTTGTAGTTTGACGGAGACGGTTGTGGGAGAGCAAAGCCCAGCGTTGGAAAGGGGTGTGCGTGAAATAAAGTCTATCGGCAGCTTATCTTTATCTTTCAGTGATTCGCCCTCTACAATATGTACTGTATGGGTTGTTTTCATGACAACTAATACCTTGTTTATTGTAAGGCAAGAGACTAGTCGAAATAAGGTTCTGTGGTAAACATTTTCCGCCACTTAAGTCTCGCTTTGTTGAAGTATCTTGGGACCGTGATGTGGTTCTTTCTTGTAAAATGTTATGCTGTGATTACTTGCAGAGGTAATCTAGTTATCCATCGTAAGGTGTTCTTAAGAAAGCGGGGCCAGTCAGAAAGAACTTTGTTGCCACATTGCCAAACGATCGCTTGGATTTAAACCACCGCCCAGAGATATCCGAACTATCTAAGCCAACTAGAAAGGTAGAAAGCCATCAGAGCTAGAGCAATCAAACTATTTACTCACGGTTGCTAGTTACTAGTGTGAAATGTATTGTTGTTAACTAATTATTACGGTCTTACATCATAAGTTGTAGCCAGTTATTATAAACATCACAAATTCGGCCACTCTGCTGCGGTGCAGTGTTTGTGCAATGCACGACATGGTAAGTATTAAAAGGGAATTAAGATAACCTTACAATAATCAT